CTCCAAAATGACAACTTTACAGGAGAAGGAAAAAACCTTCTTTACTTTTAATGTAAGTCAATGGAACCAGACTTTTTTTCCCAAGTCATTTGGGCCGTTTCTTTTGGTCTATTCATCATGAAATTCACACTCAATGCAAAGGGCAGCAGGTATTTTCTCATCATGTGAAAAACTGAAAAATGACAAAAATGGAGGTTTTCTTCTGACAACGGCGATATGCATCTTCAAAATCTCAACTTTATTGCCTGTTTATGGCCTGCTGACGATAATGAAATTTGAGCTGACCATTAATTGCCATACAAATAACTATGATTATCAGCTTGCGCACTGTATACAACAAATAAAGTTCATGCCTAAATCTAGACTAAGCCTAGCATTAATATACTGCCTGTTGCAAAAAAGGTTGTACTGTTGTCCCGGAAGTTCACCTGCCTGCAATTGCACGTAATGCAGTAGCATTAATCGATAAAGATTCATCAACATCCTGCCAACATCAACTCTTCAGAGATTTGCAGCTTTAAAAAGTCAAATTAGCTTGATTAAGGAACAGGAAAGTGCACAGAGTTGTGGTATGGCCAACTGCTCGTGCACAGAACTGTTGAAATTAGCTCTTAAATAACTTTTGATTGGCAAATATGACCTCGTGTGAGTTTTATAAGTACAAGCAGGAAGGCAAACAACAGTTGGGAGCTTTTCCTGTGCTTTCATTAAGCTCCCTGATTGGATTGATTTCACTTTCATTAATAATATGATTTTCCAAAGGAAAGTAGCTGTTTGTGCTCGTCTGGCATCTCGATCACTGAATGCTTGTGGATCACATGTGTATCTGTGCAGGAGAGCGGGCTACTTCAGAGGAGCTTTCCCATATGAGTGTCATTATATATTCAGATGGCAGAATCCATCAAGTAAGAATTTACTGGTACAGCTATGAGCCCAAACCAGATGCCTATGGCTGTGCTTTAAAATCTTCTACTGATTATTTCTTGCATTGTAAAACAAGAGGCATTTAGAGCTCAGCCTTCAGTTTGGGCCATAAATATATTTTCAAAAAATCAAAAAAAACCCTCAATGATAATGCTAATTTCTGCTAGTGACCCTCTTACATTTCAAATTCTATGTTAGCGCTAAGGTAACGCTGGAGCACATGAACATTTTTTAGGCCATTCTGGATTAAACATGGGCATCTGAAGCTTGTAAAAGACATTCCATATCTCTTATCTGAAGCTTGCAACAGTGACGATAGACATAGACTTATTACTACTTTCTATTTCTACAACTGACATACCGGGTCAGTTACGGCTCATATTCACGGTCAGTGACGCACAGTGGCAATAAAAAGTATGTGAACCCTTTGGAATTACTGCATTTATGTATGAATTTGTCGTAAAATATATTCTGGTCTACATCTAAGTTACAATAAAAAACAAATACAAACTGTTTAAATTAATAACACAATTTTTTTTAACACATCATTTAAACATTCACACTGTAGGTTGGAAAAAGTATGTAAACCCCTAGGTTAATGGCTTCAACAACAGTTAATTGAGATTTAGGAGTTTGCAAACTTTGAGTACAATCAACAAAAAGAGACTGGAGGTGTGGGTTAGAGCTACTTTGGCTTATAAAAAAAACACTCACACATGAAGTTTTCTATTCACAAGAAGCATCATCTGATGTGAATCATGCCTCACAAAAAAGAGATCTCAAAAGATCCACAATCAATAACTGCTGATTTTCAAAAAAGTTGGAAAGGGTCACAAAGTAACCTAATGAGTTTAGGGATTCGTCAGTCTATAGTTAGTCAAACAGCCTATAAATGGAGATGATTTAGTACTTTGTCTGCTCTCCCTAGAAGTGGGTACTCAGACATGACCACTTAAACAGCACACTGCAGAATACTCCATGAAGTTGAAGGGAAAAAAAAACTGGTTAACATCTCTGTTCATGAGTCTTCCATACAAAAATATTGAATAGGCAGGGTGCCAATGGCAGGACACCACGGACGAAGCTGTGTTTCTGACTATGTTATTATTTATATATTATATAGTCGGTAATTAAGTTAACATGTAAGGCCTTATGTTCCGCTCCTGAAGTCTTAACTAATGGGCAAGCTAATTAGGTTGTATCTACCTATGATTAGGCCTTCAGAAGGCCCGAGAGTCCCACAACGTACAGTATATACTATTGTAGGGAAGAGACTTTGTGATTCAAGTAATCAAATTCAAATGTGTTTGCTAACCACAGTGTATTATGAGTATTCAGTGCCTGTGTCATACATGGCCTACTGCAGTGCCTTGTGGAACAGTAAGAGATATCCTCCACTATGTTTTAGGACACCATAGTGCACAACATAGCTGATGCGAAACTTTGGGTGCCTCTGGTCAAATGACATGTTTTGTTGCTTTTTACAATTACAGTTTAGTTGCTGGATTTAACATATCAAAACAATAAAACATAAAATGTAGCTTGTGCCAAAGTTATGTTTATTTTATACTGTATTTTTTACTTATATGTTGAACTCACCAAATACATAGAAATTGCACACTAAAATTGGCAGAATATCATTTCATCATCAAGTCTGTTTCCTCTGAAGTATGTGACAAAGCTAAACTATGTAAGTTCTGGGGATTTGGAGACATCTCTGGCAGAAATGTGTAACTGCATGCAATAAAAATATTTTGTAATGTTAGTTGTGCTTCGGACCCCAACAAGCGGATGAATCTGATGATTGCAAGTGCATTGAAATAGTATTCAAAGGGAGCTTCGTCAAAACCTGATGAAGGACCTGTTTTCTGTGGATGTAAGTGAATTATCTACTATTAATGAAATGGCATTTGGGACCTAAACATCAAGTCTGCCTTTTTTTTTTTTGAGTCTGCGCACATGGCGTTAATAAGAAAAGACGTATGACATGGTCCAAAAAAAACTCCCGCTAAATCCGACTTTCGAATTAATATTTCAGGTTTTATAGGGTGACTCACAGTAGCACATGCACATCATGTTTAATTTGACTCAGTAATGCTACGTCTTCTAATTTCAACAAAAACAAAACTTACATACTGTAGCTTTAACCTATTTTCGTCGTGGAAAATCAAAGAATCATGTAATTAGACCAGAGGTTTTCAAACGCATATGACTGTATCATGGATAGACACTGTTCTGGACACAGACTACAAGAGTACAAACACAAATAAGTCCTAAAGGCTATGCAGGTTTCTCTCAAGGTTTTTATCATGATGGCACTGTAGCTGATGAACTGGTAATGGCAGCCAGGCATGAAATGAATGTTTGCGTTCAGTTTCACTTTTCCCACCAACGCAAGTTGGTGCCAACAGTGGCTACATTCAGGGTCATCCTTACTCAAGGAAAAAACATAAATGACCCAGAATTGCAAGATTCATGTGAAAAAAGGAAACGACAGCCCTGTTCAGCTCTTGGTCAGCACAGAAAATGAAAGTGTGGTCAGGGTGGAAAATGCTAGACCTGAGCAAACATTAAAGGAGTACTCCTGAGTTTTTCAACTTCATCTCTATCTGCCGCATCTGTGGCAAAGTTGATTAGTTGCAGTTGATTAAGCAAGTGACCATTAGCTTCTGTTTTTTCTGTTTTGAGTCTCTGAGTTTTCTGTTCTTTTCCACGTCCAGAAAAACATGTCTACAGTAATCAACTGTACAATACAGATGTGGCAGACAGAGGTTGAAAAATGCTGGAGTATTCCTTTAAAAGATGTAATCTGCTATCCAGCAGAGTGTTTCAACTATACTTAAAGTAAAAAAAAATCAAAAATCTAAAGATGTTTTGGAGACAGGCAAAAGTCAATACACTTGGTAGATGATAAAACAGGAAATTTGTCTTTTAAATGATATAATATGATGAATCATGCTCAACCAGGCACATGAACTAACAATGTGAAAAAAAACAACATTTTGGTTTCTGGCTCTGAAATTGGCCATTCAGCCATGGGTTAAAAATGTTGGACATCCCCATAGTTTGTAGTGAATATAGTCTAAAGAAACAGATCATGTTTCCCATGTGGTTCCAACAGACAGCAGCCACCCCCAGTGCAGTAATCAATAGCCAATTATGAAGCTTTCCCATTCCATAAGGAAAGTAGAGACACTCAAAAGAACAAAAATTCCTTTTGTGGAAAAATGAACTCAAAAGCAGCGCATAGCATTATATCAATGCATCAAAAATGCATCCACTGAACCCAAATAATTGCTTTAAAACAAACTTGGGTGTTTTAGGTCACACATGTAGGCAAACATTCATGGCTGCACCTGGTTGTGAAATGTGTCAAATCAAGCTTAAAGGGGAATTCCAACCATTTTTCAAAAACTCTGCATAATTACATAATTAACACGTAAACAAACCTATTCAGAGTGGTTTGAAGTGAAATATGTCATTCTAGAGTTGCGCACTGAGAACTGTTCACAGTGGTGGTAATAGGAACCAGACGTCTGAAGAGTTTAACGCCTTTAAAGTCTACAAAGAGCCACCAAAGAAGGTTTTTTTCCAGAGTTACCACTATTTTACCATCATCAGCATTCTATATAACATATCAGAAGATACATGTAGGTTCATTATTTGTTTTAGATAGATTTAGTATTTAATGGCTATATGTGCATTGTATACATCACAACCCCTTGGTTCTTATCACCACTACCACTGTAAGGAAATCTGTTTTGGTAAGTTACTTTACAGCAGAGCGTTTCACATCAAACCGCTGAACGGCTTTGGAAATTTTGCGGAATTCTCTTTTAATGCTTTGCAGTCAGTAGTGGCATGGACGATTATTTTGAAAGAGCAGTTTAAAACTTTTGAAGAACTTTTTTCCATGAACGTTGGAATGTTGGAAAGTCGTTTCCAAGACAAAGTACCCCCAAAAATTCAAAAATTCTGTGGCATTCGGTAACAAGAATTCAACCAACATCCCAAAATCAAAGAATAAGATTGCGGGCCAGCAACACTATGGAGCATCAGTGTATTATTTTACTTACCTTAAGTTGAAAAGGATGGATTTCATTGAGGGAATGTCTTCTGAGCTTTTTAGTGAGGGTCTTCAGCATCCTGCCCCAGATGTGTGTTTTGTTTTTTTGTTTCTCCTGTGTTGTTAAAAACGGTCTCTACACATTCATACCTGGCCCGGGTGACCAGACATCTGGCTAATCTACAAAGTCAATCAGTTACCACTTACACAGTGTCCTCTGAATCTGAATGAGTCCAGCAAATGCAGTAAGAGCTCACCAGCAGCAGCACCAGCCTGCTTCCACTACACAAACCCACAAACGCCATTCGAAAACAAACAAACTAGAAGAAGACTATTTCTGCTTAAACCATGTCAGGTATCTTCACTAAACCGAGCTACACACTGCTGAGGGAAAACTTTGCTGAAGATAACATGACCAGCTGAGCTCAACACTCAGCGCTGATGATGATGTAAGCAGGAAAAACAAGCTCCGATCACAAAACAAACTTATTACACTCCAGCGTTAATAAACTTCCTATGAAATTTTCTCTTTTCTGCTCTTTGTCACACACACACACACACCACACATTCACTCACACACTCACACACACCAACACACACACACTGCGCGCACGCTTACAGGAGAAACATACGACACTCTCTTTTTCCTTCGGCTCTGTTTGCTGCTCTGCTATTGGCTGCTCGGGTCGGGACGTCATTTCGCTTTGGGGCGGGGGCTGAGGGGGCGGGGCTGTCGTTTCCTTAAAGGGGACGCATGAGAGCAGCGTTAGAAAAACAGCAGCGTCAAAGGGGAATTCCAACGAATTTTCAAATTTTATGCATTTATTAAATGGTTAAGATGTAAACAGTCATTCAGAGCGGTTTGATGTTAAATGTTGCTCCAATCTAGAGAAAGTAAAAGTTGTTCACAGTGGTGGTGATAGGAACCAGACGTCTGAAGCATTTTTTTTGCTCTAAAAGCTCCCTCAGAGAAATTATTACACGAAGTGGCTATAGCTGTGCTGCCTGATGCCCGAGGCATTGTTTTATGGTAGTTTTGAGATAATTTTTGGCCTAAAAAAATGAACAAAGGAAAATTTATTATTGTCATTATTATGAAAGTTATTGCTAAAATTCAGAAGACACATCAGTTCATTTAACTTTTTGGACAGTAATTAAAGATACCCAGATATAAAGAGGAGAGAAATCATTTGTTGGCCCACTGATGGCAAAGCTGGAGGTCCCTTGGCTTTTTGCTCAGCGTTTTCCAGGTAGCCCACCAGAGTTTTACACAAAATGCCACTTTTCAACATTCATTTTCAACTCACTTTTCAAGTCCATTTTACTTATTTCTTTCCTTTGTTATCCTTTGTGAATTAGTGTAGTGAATAATTTCAACATCTATTGCATAATAAATGCTGGCTATACAGCTGTAACCAGCAAAGTGTCAGCAAGAACATTTTCAACAAAATCATTTTATATTAGGCCTAGTCATTAATTTTTTCAATTCTTTGTAATATTTCTGTAATGCCCATAGTCTTTAATTTTGTTTATTTTACAAAATTAAAGACTGTGGGCATTTAAAATCTGTTTGAAAAGATTAAAAACTAGCTAGTAATCTAGGTGGTCTGAGGATGGACCAGCAAATACATACAGTCTTTGGGTGGCTTGATAAGGTCAGTGGTGCTGACCTTATCAAGCCAGCATGCCAATAGGCTATATGCTTGCTATATGCAAACCCTGGTTCCTATCACCACCACTGTACAGAAATCCAAGACAGTAGTTTTCTCTACAGTGTATCATTTCATGTCAAATCATTCTTAATGACTTTGTTTACATCTTAATTACTGAACATTCCAGCACCTGTGAAATATTCGTGGAATGCCCCTTTTGAAATATTAGCGTAGTCCCAGTGTTAGAGGTGTGTACATTACTGTACACAACATTACAAAACATTACTGAGAGAGAGAGAAAGACAAAAACAAAGAGATAAATGAGGGAGATTGATAGAGTGATAAAAGACAGATAAAAACAGTAGGAGCAGCCATCCTGAAGCCTGAATTTTGTCTGTACCTTTGTCCATTTTTATAGATACCAGTGTGTCATACATTGTTGAAAACCACATAAGCAAGTATTGAGATTACTTAACAGTATAAGCTAAATGTGGATGATTTAGGTATGCAGTTAGCATCATGCTAACTGTGTAAGCATCAACTACATCAGCCTCGTAGCTAACTGCAGGGACACACCTTTCCTTTACTTGTTAGCTAGTTACATTAGCCACATAGCTAACTGCAAGGACACACGTTTCCTTTACTTGTTAGCCTCATAACTGCAGTGCGAAATGAGAGAAGCAAACTGCAGACAAACACGTCCTGGTTGACTGACTATATGTGGGATAAGGAGAAAATAGCGTGAATTGGAATTTTTTGTCACACTAGTGAAATGGACTTCTTCAGGCTGCTTGGCACCCACACGGTAATCTGATACATGACTTTATATGCACATGTATTATAAAGGGCATGTATTTCAAATGTTATGTACATATATGTTATGTAAATTATGTTATGAAGTATTGGACATATGAAATATTGGACATATGCACAATATGTGGATTGTATACGTGTCTGATAAGTGAGTAAACATATGCATAATATATGTATATAATATGTATATATACCTATATAAAATATACACTGTAGGGACAAAAATATTGGGACAGCCCTCCTCAAAATTGAGTTCAGGTTTCAGCCACACCCTTTGCTAACAGGTGGATAAAATTAAACACATAGCCTTGCAGTCTCAACGGACAAACACTGGCAGTAGAGGGTCGTACTGAAGAGCTCAGTGACTTTAAACGTGGCACTGTCATAGGATGCCACCTCTGCCACAAGTCAGTTTGTGAAATTTTTGTCCTGCTAGATCTGCCCCTGTCAACTGTAAGTGCTATTATTGTGAAATGGAAACACCTAGCAGCAACAACAGCTTAGCCATGAAGCGGTAGAACCCACAAATGAAGAGAATCACTCACTGAAGAGTTCCAAATTGTCTCTGGAAGCAACATCAGCAAAGGACATGCACATTAGGAGCTTCATAAAATGGGTTTCAATGGCTGAGCAGCAACACACAAGCCTAAGATCAAAATGCACATTGCCAAGTGTCGGATGGAGTGATGTAAAGCTCGCCACCACTGGACTGGAGCAGTGGAAACGCATTCTATGGAATAACACTTATCTATCTAGCAGTCTAATGGACAAGCCTGGGTTTGGTGAATGCCAGGAGAACATTACCTGTCTGACTGCACTGTGCTAACAGTAAAGTTTGGTGGAGGAGGGATAATGATATGGGGTTGTTTTTCAGGGGTTGGCCGAGGCCCCTTAGTTCCAGTGAAGGGAAATGTTAATGCTTCAGCAGACCAAGACATTTTGGAGAAAGTTTCAACTTTGTGGGAACAGTTTGTGGAAGGCCCTTTTCGGTTATAGCATGACTGAGCCTCAGTGCACAAAGCAAGGTCCGTAAAGACATGGCTGGGTGAGTTTGGTGTGAAAGAACATGACTGGCCCTCACAGAGCCCTGTCCTCAATTCCATCAAACACCTTTGGGATGAACTAGAACAGAGATTGTGAGCCAGGCCCTCTCATCCAACATCAGTGTCTGACATCACAAATGCTTTTCTGGATGAATGGACAAACACACTCCAAAATCTTGTAGAAAGCTTCCCAGAAGAGTGGAAGCTGTTATAGCTGCAGAGGGGAACCAACTCCATATTAATGCCTATGGCTTTAGAATGGGATTTATAAAAGCTCCTGTAGGTGTAATGTGTGGGTGTCCCAAGACTCTTGTCCAAATAGTGTCTGATACAAACACTGAAAGATTTTGTAAAGCAAAAAATCAAAATGAAATACACTAATAACATAAAAGACATAAAAATACTCATATTACATGACATGCAGCTAACATATATGAGTAATACACTCCATCCATATTTTCTATCATATATGGTTAAATATATGTGATACACTTACACATTGATATATGTCAATATGTCTGAAATATATGTCCCATATTTGAAAATGGCCAATTATGTCACATATATGTTCTAAGTAATATAAGGGAAGTCCATGATAATATATCAGTCATATAGTTGAAATCCATATATTGCCACATATCAGATTTCCATATGGATATAGCTTTTATTAAATCTTGTCTTAGCATTTAGCACACTAAAAAACTTTTAGTTTTTCATTAAAATCTGCTATTAGCACTGAATGAGAGTAAAGAGAAAGTAACTGATGTTGCACCAGTGTGGCTCTCACCAAATTTGTTCAAAACAATGAATGTGCTTATTCTTTGCCACATTTGTGTACATAAATGAAGAAGAGGTCTTTGCTTCTAAACTGATTCTCTATAATGTGAAGTTTATAAATCAGTTGGGTTTAATTTACATACTGTATTCTCCAGTGGCCACAGATGCATCTGTCGAGCTTTAAGCATATAGTTTTTTTAAAAAATACACCTGTATTCCACAGAGTATTTATTTATCTTGTTTACTGCTCTAAATTGAATACGTTTCTGCTTTGCGGTCCTCTAAGTCGCATTGCTGGTTAAAGTCACCTGCCAAACGACCCCCCATATCCCTGAAATGAGTGTAAAGGTTTCATAACCAGTGGCTGTTGGTGTTCTCTATAAAATCATAAAAGCAAAACATTGATCTTATTTTTGGTTCCCTTATCTTTAAATGGGCATAGTGAAAATGGAGTGGTTAGATTTGTTGTGCACCAATGATTCAAAACGCTACAAATTAACACCCACTTAACACCAGGGCTGTATTAATACAACACACTTTCGGACTGATTTGTACACTCAGTTTGCAGATCTTGTGAACTATCCTTATTACTCACTGAGTAATATTTGATATCTTCTATTTCTTTTGCTTTTGTAGATTACAAAACTCTCTTGGCAGATTTAAAGAGTTTGTGTTTTTCCTCTGTTTTCCCAGTATAAGTTTCCAAATGTTGGCCTGAAAATCAGTTTATGTTCAGTCTGAAAGCTGAGTTTGATCTTTCTCTATTTATGTGATGCTCAGCGAGTTGCTTTCATCCTGAATATGGCCCCTTCATACTGCAGTAGACCATCAGATGTCCTAAATCTCTTACACAAGTGTTCATCTTTCTCTCTATCTGATTAGAGCTTTGAAGATGTTGAAGTCCTGCAGTCCTGCAGCACTGTTTAGTGTTTTTCCTAATTCAACCCACCAGTTAATTATCAAGCTGAGTCAGTTTGACAGTAAACTGCTGCAGGCCTCTGCATTTGAAGTTGAAAAGCCTGTTTGTACTCATTGTGCAAAACAGTGGGACTATACAGGCATCTGGTGACCACTAGAGGGCAGATAAGACTAGTGTATCATTTTGTTTAAAAAGTGATTCATAATATATGATAGCCTTCTGTAATGTTATCTCAATTATTCAGCATTTTTCCATGACAATATATAAGTTCTAGAAAATTTCTAATAGGGGTCTCTGATATGTAGCAATAATACAATACAACATCAACAACAACAATAATAATAATAACAATAAATGTATAGCTGAAAATAATAAATAATGTAATGTAATATCTGTCTGTCTATCTATCTATCTATCTATCTATCTATCTATCTATATACACATATACATCTATATA